GCTTGAAAGTTCAACGCGTGATTGCGAGGACCCTTCAAATAACTCACCACTGAGGCAGCACGGGGGGGATTGTGGGAAGTCTGGATTCTTGCAGTGGAATAACATCGTGGCTGATGGAAGGCCTGGGCACTACCCTCCCGACTACATATCGGCATCGACCCCAAAACAGTTTCACTTGTTTGACCCAGCGGACGAAACGCCAGAGCCTGGCAGATTGGAAGGATGAGAAGTACCCCACGCGTAGAAACTCTATACCCTTCCCGATTGGAGCGGCAAACGACATCTCAAGATGCCAAATGGATGGAGCAAGGCTATGAGGAGAACTGGAGTAGCAACCGCGCCGAGGCAAAATCACGTCCACGCAAGGAACATTGCGAAGACGTCTCACGCGAACACACCCCACGCCACGGGAAACAACCGTCTCGTCTCGGCAGACTTTCGCCATCACTAAACCGAGCCGGGGAGACAAGCAGTCTTCGGCCACTGAGAAGGGCGGCGGGCATGAAAGGCGAGGACCCCGCCCCCCCCCTTCCCTCACTTCCCTCCCCCCGGCCCCGCCATGCTACCTCTGAGCTCGTGGATCCAACATTTCTTCACCCTGCCTCGCCTCGCCCTGCCTGCCTGCCTGCCTCTCCCTGCCTCGCCTTCCCTCACCTAGTTATCAGGGCTATTCCCTCTGCCCACCTTCTCCCTTTCTGTTTCCTTCCTTCGCAGCCCCTCCTGTCTTTCCACGCTTGCCCCTCCTGATCCTATCTCCGCTCCCTCCAAAGGGGGCCGAGGGTTCAATACCTGGTCTGGTAGACCGACATGCAGCTGATCAAGATGGGGGATAGAGGGTTGGGGTGCGCATCAGTTGTACATGTCCTTCAAAGGTGTGCCAACGGCATGCGTGCCAATGGCTCCGCTGCAAGATGAACTGGCCCTCCCAACAATATGAAGCCGAAGATACTGACGAAGACAATGCCGGCGAGGATAGTGATGACTTCGGCGACGGAAATGGTGACGATCATGGCGATGATGATACTGACTATAGATGATGATGGTGATAATGATGCTGATGACCCTGAACGCACATGGATGGGTTGACGCGAAGTGTCTGGATATATTGCACTGCCTGCCATGGAGGAAATATAGCGCAAGAGGAAAGAGGGGAGGAGGTAGAAGACTTGAGCGGCCAAAACGGCGGCGGTCCCATTCACGCAACGGAAACCAGTGAAATCACTAAAACCCTGAGCGCACATTCTTTGCCAGATGTACCCTGAAACTGAGCAAAAGAAGGATCCCGCCGTCGACGCTGCGCTGGGCACAGCCAAATCTCGAACTACAACAGACACGAAGCGTCAAGGTGTGACGCGAAGTGTCTGGATATATAGCACTGCCAAACCTGCAACAGCAAGCTGGCAACGCCGCAAGAGGCTCAGCCTGTTGACAACGCATTTCAATAACTCGCCCTGCGGCTTCAACGTCGCGGCAACGCTTAGCCAGCACCGAACTAAGCCTGACATGATCGACAGCCCCAGCGCTAATGGTGGGGAAGACGAGTGCGTGAACATAGGCCTCGCCGAGACACGCAAGGCCTCGCCGAGACACGCAGCACCAGGAGTCCATGAAATGGCCCAACGTCGAGATCAGACATCAGAACGTCCGTGTACTACCTCCACGCCCCCTCCCCCGCGCTGGCACATGGAGAGAACGATATACCGGACGGAACTACGACGCTGGCGGGTCTTTAACCTGGGACGGAGACAAAGCCAGGAAGTCTTGGGGTTTTCAACACTCCAGGGATGTTGGAACGATGCTGACACACAAAGAGTGGCGACAAAGCTGTGCAGAGCGTCCGACACGTCCACTACAGCCTGCAGATGGGGTTTGAGACAAGGGAAGCCGAGGAGATGGGATTCCGAACGAACAGGCGGGGAATCCGAACGAACGATGGGAACCCATGGCCCCGACATCTGGCGAGGGCATCACGCACGCCGGCGCGGCAGCCCCTGAGGCGGCAGGTGCGCCGAAGACAAGACGAGAGAACGGCTGCAGGCCATAGACAGATCACAGTGCTCACACAAGCAAGTGTCCCACAGCAAGATCGGCATTCCGAAACGCGCGGCAGATTTTCCAAAGCCGCCATCACCCGAGAACAGATCGAGGACCACCGGCGGGTCGGGTCGGGCAGACTGGGGCGGCGGTCAGGCCGCGCGGTGGCGCGCACAGCTCGCGCGCGCACAGCTCGGCGTGGCGCCTCTGCGACGCGGGCAGCTTGCGAAGCTGCGCTGTGGGCCTGCCGCCCTTCTCGCACCTGCGCAGGTGGCGGAATGATCTCCAGCGGCCCTGGCGGCGGATCTGCCCGAGGTCGCAGAAGTTGGCAGCGTAGTCGTGGCTCGGGCCCGAGTGGCGAAACTGGCCCATGTGGCGCGCGCGGAGCTTGCCTTGACCCAACTCCCTGCGTGCCTGCCGGCATGCCGCGGCGACGTCCTTCTGACTCACCACGAACAGCAAGCTGTTCCGCCCGACGCGGGGCGCAGCCGTGTCTGTCAGCTGGGGGCCGAACCCCGTTGGGCGGCCAAGGTCCAGCCGCACTGCCGCGTCGAACTCCCCCGTCCTGGACACGTCGCCCGTCTCCTCCGCGCGCAGCGTCGCGGGGGCGAGGCTGCGCGCCTCCGAGCTGTCCAGGGAAGGGGGCACCGCGTCCTGGATACGAAGTCCGTGGGTCTCGCAGGGACGCCGGCCCGTAGATGCCGGAGGGCTGCCAGGACCGCTCCTGACGCATCCCGCGGCGCGCGAGGTGGTGGATGATCATCGCCACCACTTCACACGGGGCTGCCATGCGACTCTTTGGCGGCGCGAGGCTGCGCCTGGCCCGCGATTGGCCCGACGAGGGCTCGCCGAAGCCAGGGCCGCATTCTCTGTCAGCGCCGCCGCCGGCCTCAACGCGGCCTCGCCGCGCAGGAAGCCCGAGGCAGCGCCCCCCATGGCCAGGGCGGCGCCGACGGCGAGGCAGGAGTTCCGCGACAGATTATGGAAAGATGGCGAGGACGACGAAGCCGCGAGGGCTCTCAGGGAGGGACTGACGCACCGCGCACGGATGCGAAGCAGGGGGTGGATTCCGAGTAGCGTCGCGCACCTGCCTGACGCGCACGTGACGTCATCGAGCTCCCGGTTCCGGTCGCGCTGTTGCCTGCCGTGCCGACGACGGCACGCGCGCTGCACGTGATCCATGCCATCCTGCCGGCGATCCTGCGGCGGCGCACGGCGTGACGACCTCACGACGGCTGGCCCCCTTGAAGGTAACTTAGAAAGACTCCGACGGGCCACCGCGGCCCCTGGAGGGACCGTCCGCGACGTTCTGCTCCGAGGGGTCCCAACAACTACAGACAAACTCATTCCCCGAGGCCAGCGCGAGGGCCCCGACGCACGATGCCAGGCACGGCGCGGCTGTGGGCCCTCGTCCTAGGCGGCGGCCGGGACCGGCGAGAGTGAGTCACCCAGGACGAGCAGGCGTTCACCATGGTTCCGAACTGCCCTCAAGGCATGACGAACGTGATTGAGCATAGCACAAGCCTCGGGGACTGGCACCCTCTCGAGGCGATCCCACATCGCTCTCCCAGTCACCTGCCAGATACTCCTCCAACGCACTATTTGGCCCAGCCCTGCCATGACGCAACTTCTCACCATGAGGACCTACCTCGCGCGCAGCGTTCACACCCCCCTCAGCTTCGCAGACACCCAGCCCCGAATGGGGAGGCGCCCACGCAGCCGACTGAGGGCGACCACTGAGTGCGAAGGTCACGCCACAGTCAAAAAGGGGCAAGGCAATCCCAGGCCGCGGGCCCTGCCTGACCTACTACCAGAGAGGCACCTCACGCTGGTGGCACTCCTGAATGAAGCAGAAGCTGGCCTCGAAGGTGCCGAGGCCCTCCCGCTGAGCGATGGCTCCGAAAATGAAGTGGCCAAGGGGTCTCTCCAAGTCACGCCCCGAAGCCCGACCGCAGGCACGGGGGGCCTCGGAGTGCGAGCCTCACGCGCCGTATCCTCGCAGCCGGTGCCCAAGAACGTTGCGCTCGCCCTCAGCGTCGCCCCCACACAGCTCGCGCGTAACGATCAGGCTCGCGATCAGGCCCCAGCAGGCCAAGTCCAGCATGGCCCGGGCAACTCTCGTCCTCGCGACCGTCGCGTCGTAGCCGATGCTCACACACTTGTCAACGCGCTGCGAGTGTCATGTCGCCGCTGGCCTCGGCCTCCCGCTCCGTGAGCGATTGATACCACCATGGGGGCGATCCCAAGAACCCCAGCTCGAATGGGCGAAGCGCGAAGGCAAAGCGGAGAGCCCCCTGCAATTCCAGGCGGTCGAGGACGCCCTTCAAATCTGCATCTTCGCGCGCTGAAAAATACGACGGGAGGTCCTTGATAGTTTTCGGGGCCCCTGGGGGGCCCTCACCGGGCCCCCGGCACCAGGGCTGACAGATCCTTGGACGAGTCAAGATCTCTAGGGGTCAATGTTCTTTTTGTTGAAAAAACAGCAAAGATCTTTGCTTATACATATATATAATGGCGTCGAACAAGAATCACAGGAATCATGTTCCGATGGGACGAGATGCTATGAATCACGTTCCAGTGGAGGTGCAGGCAGGAGCGACCCTGACTTCAAAAACAGTTAGCGAATCAACTCTCGGTGGAGATGGCAACGGTCGATGGAGAACGCTAGTACCAGATTGACGATCCCCCGCCACAACTAATATCAAGTGCTGTGTGCCCTTCCACCAGCTCTGATTTCAGCACCTTCAAAGGGAATCCCCGATGACCTCCACGTGGATTTGGCAAAGCTTCCCTGGATCCGTCGATTACTTCGGAGGCAAATCAGGAATCGAAAGATTGATTGTGAAGCAGTTTCGTTTACAGCGCTGCCCTCAATAAGCATCTGCACAGTTTTACTTGTCAGTAATGCTCCCAGTGAGGGGTGTCAGGCCCAAATTTGCAGATGAAAAGGTTTATGCTCTTAGCCCCGCTTGCATGACTGAGACGATGCTGATAAGTGTGATGATGATGGTTTCTCACATCGCGAGATGGCAGGTGCAACTGCTGCCTTAGAATATTGAGGCGGCGCCCGCTGACGTGGAGAACTAGGCTTTGACGACTTTCCCTGATCGAGAACATTGAACGGCTCGGCAGACGCTGCGCCAAGCATGTGCGCACGACTGAACGCCATGCCAAACGCGTGCCCCAGCCAGGGGAGCACTGCGATAGCCTCATTGGTGGTACTGTGCGCACGCAAGATTTCCCTACAGCGCCTTTTCAAGGTCTATAAACCCACCAGCCCTGTAGGCCGATGTGCTCTAGAGCGCGTCCTCTTCCAACCCCCTTCTTTCCCTTCGCGGAGGGGCCATCACTGCTCCGTACTCATAGTGTACACCCCTCCCCCACCATACCAGCCCCTAGTCGGGGGCGAGTGACGACCCCTCCCATCACTATCCATATCAAGGACATGTCTGCCAGCGTGGACCCCAAACAGTGCGTGGCTGCAGCGTGGGCGTAAACTATGCGATGCAGTCCATGCGGTGCAAGCTATGTTGTGCAAGCTGTCTGTGTAGTGCAAACCTTTTCGCTCATTTGCGGAAGCTGCGCGGTGCAACCTGTGTGGTGAACGCCGCGTGACGCAACAGATGTGGTGCAGGCTGTGTGGTGTAGGCTAGGCTCCCCCGAGGCGGCCACCCACGGGGCACCCACAGGGCGCCCACCGTAGGCAGTGGGCGGGCCCCAGACGAGACCGCGGCAGGCCCACCCAGCGCGCGAAGCACCCACGAGGCGCCCACGGGCAGCAGCGGGCAGGCCCCAGGCGAAACCTCGGCCGACCCGCCCAAACGGGGCGCCCACGCGGCGCACCCGGGCGGGTACCAGGCGAAACCTCGGCAGGCCCACCCAGCGCACGGGGCGCCCGCGAGGCGCACACGGAAGCCCACCAAACGAACGCCAGGCGACACCAAGGCCGACCCTTCAAATTCCTGACGTGAAATAAATCTGACGCCCTAATACAAGCACTGCTTGGGTAACACAACGACCTACAATTTGCATATATGACTATGCTCGGGCGCCCCGCGATCAATTTAAATCGCTGTTTGACAGCGACGGCGGGGTTGCCGGCACATTGCCTTGTGCGCGCAGGCCCACCATCCCTGTCACAAGCGCATACGAAGCGCACGTTGCGGTAAAATCTTTGGCCATGCGCGGGTGCCCCGCGATCATATGTTTTATTGTTATTTGACACGGGTGATGGGGGGGGACTAAACACGCGCGGCGCAACCCGCGGGCGTCGCGCACCTGGCTGGTGTCTGCATTGCTTCCCGATGGTTGTCGAGGGCAGCCTCTACCTATCCTGAGACTCGGATGCAACGTAGCTGGTGTGAGGGCATGAAGGAGTGAGCGAGACGACCGCCGTTTGGAAGAGCTATATCACTGCTTCAGATGCATATACCCCTCTTCCCCCACCAGACCAGCGACAGACCCAGGACCATGAACCCACCCCTACAACCCCTATCAAGAAGACAATGCAATTTGCGCTTTGCGGCAAAATCTTGGGTCATGCCGGGGGGGGGCGCAACCACTTTGTACCGTTCGGGACATGGACGGCGGGTACTACTTCTGCGTTGGGCGGGCAAGTGGGACTGAGCCTAATATACAACCCCTCCCCAAGGCGACTGGCAACCAATATTGCCTGCTGTGCGCAGGGCCACCATCCCTGTCAAAAAATACCCTGCGACGCACCCAACCCACGTGCATCAAATGGCAAGAGGAGTATGCCAACATTAGCAGGAACAGCGACAGTGTAGACGCGGCGATTTGCCGTGCAAACTACATGGGATGCGCATGCGTTGCACGATTCACAGGACGACGATCGCAAGAACGAGGTTTGAGGCCCCAGGATCGAAGAAGAACGGGTACGGGAACGAGGGGTAGGAGAGGGATGGAATGGAGGGCGGGGGGGGCGAAAAGGCCATCGCGGAAGCAGCGGCATGCATGGAGAAGGTGAGGCGGGGAATAGGACGACGATGAAAGTGGCGGGAGGAGACAGAAGACTGCCGCGTTTTTCAAGCGCGAGCTAAACCCGCAGCGCTGCCTGCGCCATGTCGTCGCAGAGTTCCACATGATAAAACTTGTTTAGAATGCAAGGAACGAGCGAGGCGTAGCTCGCCCGCTAGCTTCTCCGCCTCCTTCCCGCACATTTCAGCGCGGGAGCTGAACGCTCGCAGGCGCGCCGCCAGGTCTGCGGGCGGCCCGCGGGAAAGAAACTCAAGGCCGGGGTCGCGTATCATCAATCGGTTGTCCATCGTCCAAAGTTGCACTGGCGACGTACTGGTTGAACGCGGAGCGAGCAGCATCACGCGCGTGCCTGAACGCCACGCAGGTACAGTGCACGCGCGATTGGGACTTCAGGTCGATCACGCGCGTCTCCACCAGGCTTGGCAACACCACGCGACTGAGGATCTCACTGCGGTCTGCCATGCTGCTGTCCGCGAATGCAATGCGCTGCCTGCAAGTAAGGCGGCGGCGTCCACTTGTCTCAGAAGATGTTCCCGCGGGCCCGAAGGGCGACCGCCAGCTCGAGCCGCGGCGCCGGCAGGCCAGATAAGGATCATGCAACAGCAAAGACGATGACAGAGCAACGAGGTATCGGCGAGTGCATGACCGGCCTCCGTTTCCTGCACTTCTTTCCTGTAGTTCCCCTAGCTCATCGAGCTCAGCAGATGTTTCTGCGGGTCCGAAGGACGACCGCCAGCTCGAGTCGCAGCGCCACGTGGCACGAACCGCAGAGCAAGGGCACGCGAGCATTGCTCGTGGTCAGAATCTGAGTCCCCGTGGTGCCTCACTCCGCTGGCCACCCACCAGCAGCCCTCGAAAGTGGCGACAGTTTCACAGATCGCAGCCGCCCAGGGGTGGCGAGGTCTAATCTGAGTCCCCGTGGTGCCTCACTCCGCTGGACCCACCAGCAGCCTCGAAAGTGGCGACAGTTTCACACAGGGATGGCGAGGTCTAATCTGAGTCCCCGTGGTGCCTCACTCCGCTGGACCCACCAGCAACCCTCGAAAGTGGCGACAGTTTCACAGATCGCAGCCCCCCAGAGATGGCGAGGTCTAATCTGAGTCCCCGTGGTGCCTCACTCCGCTGGACCCACCAGCAGCCCTCGAAAGTGGCGACAGTTTCACAGATCGCAGCCCCCCAGAGATGGCGAGGTCTAATCTGAGTCCCCGTGGTGCCTCACTCCGCTGGACCCACCAGCAGCCCTCGAAAGTGGCGACAGTTTCACAGATCGCAGCCCCCCCCCAGGATGGCGAGGTCTAATCTGAGTCCCCGTGGTGCCTCACTCCGCTGGACCCACCAGCAGCCCTCGAAAGTGGTGACAGTTCCGCAGATCGCAGCCCGCCAGGGATGACGTGAAAGGCAAGAGAAGAGAAGAGGAGGAGCGAAGAGAGGAGGAGAAGGCAAGCAAGAGAGGAGAGGAAGAGGGAAGAGAGGAGGAGGAGGCGGGAAGGAAGGAAGGTGGAGACCGCAGTGCTCTATTCAAAACGAGTACCCAACGCAGGAGGGTTGGGAAAAATACAAAATGCACATCGCGGCAAAATCTGGATTATGCGCGGCCGCCCCACGATCACTGTCAAGCGGTGTTTGGCAGGCACGGCGAGGGTGGTGGCGTATGGACTGCTGTGTGCAGGCCCACCCGACACAATGCTGGGCATTGGTTTTCGACAAGGACGGTGGGGGCCGACATGTTTCCCGATGTGTGCTGTCACGTGCGCAGGCGCACCTGTCACGCTATGCACGCGAAGCTGGTCCGGAGGCCCAACCAGATGCTTCGCCTACGGCGAAGTATGCGTCCAACCCTGTTGTACCGTATCAACGATAGCCCCAAAAGTAAGAGTGAACCGCGGGAGTGGGGCGACATCTCAAGCGAAAGGGAAGATGCCTTTTCGGTCTCGACGTATGGCAGTTCGCCTCAGGGAGGCACAATCAAATAGGTGGCCGGTCACTGGGCCGAAATGGCCGCGGACAAACGCTCGATACATCTCGCCTTTGCCCAGCCTCCTTTAGAGTAGTGCCCAAGATGACCTCTAAGATGGCGCAAGGTATCCACAAATCGCCGTAGATGGCATCCAGCATGCCTGCAAGAGGCCCCAAGACTGCTCCAAGACCGCTCCAAGACGGCTCAAAATTCTCACAGAGCCTCCCAAGGCCGCCCCCGAGACGCCAAAATCCGTCCCAAACCCAAAGGACACACATGCGGTGTGCATTATTGCATGTTCGCTTCTGACGGGCTTCTGGGGCCTCAAGTTGGCTTCAAGATGGTCCAAGAAGGCCTCCAGAGGGGGCCAAAACGGCCCCAACACAGCCCCACGAGCGCCCAAAGAGCGACCGAAGATAAGCACTGTCGGGCTCCAACGGGGTAGTTGAATGACCCCCCCTTCACTCGAAGCCAAAATCATGAAACACCCATTCGTTGTCCAAAGACTTTCGCATATCGGGAGCATCGTTGGGAGGCGTTTGGGCCAACATGGCTGCAATGTTGCACCGTGCAGCTGAAGCTGACCTCCAAGATAGCGCAAGATGGGCCAGGATTGCTCAAGAATTCCCTCAAGAAGCCTCCAAGAAGGCTCAAAGGGCCGCCCCAAGAAGGCTCCGAGTGCCCACAGAGTCTCCCAAGGCTGCCCCCGAGAGACCCAAATCGATTTAACACCAAAAAGGAAAACAAATGATTTGCACATTATCGCCTTCTCGCTTCTGCTTAGCTTCTGTGGCCTCAAGACGGTCCAAGAGAGCCCCAAGAGAGGCACAACAGGACCCCAAGACGAACTCGAGAGCGCCCGAGAGCGCCCAAGAGCGCCACAAGAGCGTTTTAAGAGGGTCCCCGGAAGGTCCGAAGGACCCTCTGTTCGGACCCAACAGTGGCAACCCCAATTGAGGACCCCCCCTCTGTGATCGATGCCTCGCTGGTGCGCTTGCAAAAGGATGGATGCGTTGCGGGCGCGCGTCGATAACATTATTCAGTGGGCTGTGACCTTCCAACTGTACAGACCCGATGTCTTGACTTGTTCAATTTTGGAGTCCCGAAACGGTGTGGTGACAGACCGTGCGGTGACCTCGAAATCCCCCAAGACCTCACCGCACGGTCCGTCACCGCACGGTCTTGGGACCCCGGGGGCCCCTGTCACCCGAGATATCCTCGGAGAACGACCCGAGTCCCAAAGCCGTGCAGCGACCCCGAATCCCCACCGACTCACCGCACGGTGTGGTCACCACCCCGTTTGGGGCCCCCCGATCAATACGAAGTCCGCGGAAGTCCCGCCCATTTCACCGGGGCCGGTTCTCCATCCCGGTTCGTTTTTTGAAAGTCCCCCGGCCTGGCGAGGGCGGATCGTTTCGCCGAAACCAGCGAACGCCCTTCCGTCGTGGTTTTTCACGACGCGAAGAGGTCTGGGTCTGACGGTTTCCAATGTCTCGACTGCCGTCTGATCCTCCGACCCTCCGACTTGGTCCTCGTCGTCTGGCTTTCGAGAAACGCGGGCCTCCAAAACCGAGAACGCTCCCAAAACCGTCAGTCGTGGTGTTTTCACGACGCGTGCACGTCTGGGGTCTCATCGTGGTGCGGCGTGCCGCACCGCGCATCTGGAGGAAAAAGCTGCATAAACACATTTTCTTAGAGGTCCGTGCAGATTTGTTGGATCGAGAAGCCTGGCGAAGGCAACGCTGGTCCAGGAAATCCGCGGGCTCCTCCGAGAAATGATGCTTACGTATGCCGTGTATTCATACGTGTCCTCCTCCGCTTCTTCCTCTTCGACCATTACAGTCGAGGCGTTGACCTAAGGAACCCAAAATAAGGAACGAGGCCCCTTTTTCCCATAAGTTCAACCTCGATTTCCTATGGAAAACCTCCGGAAAACCCGAGGCAAACTTGGAAACAATCAAGGAACACCGAGCCCCTCCCCAACGAAAAGGGCTCCTTCTTCAGCGCCCCGACCATGACCTGCTGGCCGCGCCTCGCACACGCCGATCTCGGACGCCCCCCCCCCTCTCGGCGACAGAACGCGCTGGCGCGGAGGCCGGGGCCGCACCTTGGCGGCTGCGACGCTCGGAGGGGGCTCGGGATCCGCCCACGGCGGCTGCTCCCTCGCCCCCCGCAGGGGCAGCGACAGCGGGGGACCGCCTCGGGGGGAACACGTCGAGCAGGAATGGCCGATGCAGCGCCGATAGATCGGCGGTGGGCACCCGATAGCAAAACTCCGCACGGCCCAGGCGCGGAACGGGCCGTGCGGCCCCCAAATCGGCGATCCACGGGCGATCGGGGGGATCGATGCGTCCCCCCCCCCCCGTGATCCGATCCCCCCCCCTGACGGTGCCCCTGACTTGGGCTCGAATTCGTGGGGGGCGATAAATGGGAGCGAGAGAGGTGCCCTTTCTGCAGCCCTCGCTGCACCCCCATGTATCGCTACTCCATTCGTCGCCCCCCTGCTGACCTCCCCCGCACGCGCCCCGGCAGAAACTCGCGCGCTGGTCGGGCCGGGCCAGGGGTGGAAGCATGAATCGATTGCGCGAGCCTTGCAGCACTCGGGCGGGAAAAGCCGCTCCGAGCGCGGCGCGGAGAAAAGCAGCGCCTGCACGGCGCAGCGCCTGGACGGCGCAGTTCTTGCCGGAGGCCCACCAAAGGCGGGCGGCGCGAGGGGGACAGCCTTCTGCGAAGGCCCCTGCCTTCTGAGAGGAAGGGGCCCAGGGGCACACAACTAATTAAGCACCAATCCCAGGATCCCCCTACATGTTTCATATGCTGATTGATGCTTATCTTCCCCTCCACTTCCTATATTTTTGTTAACTTCGGGTGGAACGGCGATTACTTGTGTCTGGGGATTTCTTCCCCTCCTTCTGAGAGAGTGCCCCCGCCCTCGCAGAAGGCCGCCCTCCTCGCGCCACCCCCCCCTGGGGCGCCGCCGAAAATTGTGCTGCTTCGGAGAATCGGTGGGCCGGCGCCCTGTCCTTCCCTGAGATCCGACGCGGCGGACAGAAAAGCAGCACCGTGCAAAATCACGCCCGGAGCCCTATGAGGCCCCCTCCTTCTGCGCCATCTCCTGCGCTGGCTCCATCTGCGAGGGCGCCGGGGACCCAGGACAGCAACTTGCCACGCCAGGATCTCAGGGCTTGGAGCCGCCGCGCCCCCCGCAGAGCTGCGGAGGCCCTGCGGGAGGGGGCTGCCGCGCGCGGTGGCCGTCGGCAAGCCAGCGCCCGCCACTTGCCAGAGGGGCCGGCTCTTGCCAAGGGCGTGCCCTCTGCTGCGGAACCGAAGAGCAGCACAAACAGAAACCCCGACACCCAACGCCTCGACACAAAACATCAGGACGGAAGATTCTCGCTGCTCTCGGCCTCTGGAAGCCCCCCCACTGCTTGCCGCGGCCCTGGGGAAGGGGTCAGGACTTCCTGGGACCCCGGATTGAAACAGGACGCGGGATGTCTAGGAACTTTCGGGTGTCTGCGCGGATTGCTTGAATCGGCGCGGGACCCCCCTGCCTGCCGCGCGGAGCGCGCCAAAGGCGGCGCCAGAGAAGCGGCCGGGGGGGCCCGGCGCCGATCCAAGAAATCCGCGCGGAGCTCCGCGAAATTAGGATGAGGGCATGGGATTAGGAACCCTTGGACGAGGAATCCATGCCGTGGAACACCGATTGAGGCTTGGCCATGAATGTCGCCGCCCCCCTCATTAGATGAGGAATCCTCCCGGGTCTGCAGCCTCCCGGGCACATCCCTGAACGAATGCCCCCGCCATCTGTTTATGCCGTGCTCAGCTCTTCTGGCGGGCCTACCTGCCACTACACTCGGGGGCGCGCAAACGTGGATTAGCGGTCCATGGATTTGGCGCGCGGTCGCCAAATCCATGGATTGGCGGAGGTGCCCTCCCCAGAATGCAGCCGGTGCGGCCTCGCTCGGCGCCGGAAGTCTGCAATTCCCCATAGAAACGGGACCCGTCGCTTATCCACGCCCCCCGAGTCCGTGTTTGCGATCGCCTGACATACCACCGCTACCGACCAGGGCGGCCGACCTGTGGCAGTGCTCTGCTGCGCGAGGCGCCGACCGCGCCCAGCAGACCACTGCCATAGGTCCGCAGCCCGCTGCCCGCCGTGGCGGCCGTGGAGCACAGGGCCCGCGACCTTCGGCCCTGGCCGTCCGTGCGCGGACCCCGACGTCGACCCCCAGAGGTCTCGACCAGGGCTGAACCTCAACGGTGTTGCTCGTTTTCGTGTTGTTTTCGTTGCCCCTTGTTTTGTCTGCGGTTCGCCTGTACCGCAAAACGACATCGAAACAAAAACGGCCCACGTGACAGCCCTGGTCTCAACCCCTTCCCCGGGACCGGTCTCTCCTCCTGAATCGTTTTGTTGACGGTCCCGAGGCTGGGGGAGGGCCCCCAGAGGCCGAAGATAGCGAAACGCCTCTCGTCGCGCCGTTTGCATGACTCGAGGGGGCCTGGGGGGGGGGCTCCCGCGCCCGCGCGCTTCGCCAGTGCGGCCGCCCGTGCATATCGCGCCGCGGGGCGGGCAGCGCCGCGCCCCGCGCCGCGCTCGCGGGCCCGCGCGAGGCGGGGCGGGCGGCCCCGCAGGTGGTGAGGGGCAAGGTTCAGGGACCCAGAAGGACGTGCTGGGTGCAAATGTTGGAGGCGCACGTCCAGCACGAACATATGTCGCCGCGCCATGTATTCTCGACGCGCCAAAGTGAAGGACGCCGGCACCACGGCAAACCCACAGCAAGCGCTGTGCCCCGCGCCCAAGCAGACGACTCCAGCACCGCGGCAAACCCACGGCGAGCTCACTGCGCCCTGGGCGGCGCTTGCCCTGGTGCCCGCGGCGCCCTCCTCCAGGCGCAGGGACACGCGTCGGATCATCTGGCGCGGCGACATACAGCACACACGTGCTGTACAGTAGGGGCCCGACCAGAAAAAAAACTCCACGAGAACCCCAACCCCGAGACCCCAGAACGTCCACTGACGTTTCTGGTGCGCGAGCGCCGCGCTTCTTCACAGCAACACCATCGACACCCAAGAAACCAAAGGTACCCTGAAGGCAAGCCGGGGTGTTTCTTGGCATGGGCTCCCACTGCAGGCCATCGCTTCCCGAGCGGTGTGGCTGGACAGCGCCCGCCGTGGAACCTCTCTGCCAGGCTTCCTGAGCGCGCGCGTCGCCCTGGCGGGGCCAACGCGCACATAGCACCAGGCACGTTTGGACAGTGACGACGCTCGGCGGGGGACCGCCTCGGGGGCGAGGGGGGGGGGGTGAAACGGGAGGGGGAGAACAGAAGCTTCGAGGTTCGAGGCCTGAGATTTTCGGGCGTGTCCGCTGGTCCTCGGCGATTTCCCGGCCTCGGGATGCCTTCTAGCGGCTGGGCCTCGCCGAGGGTTGTCCGGGGCTGCCCGGATCGTCCCGAACGGCCGCCAGAGGCTTGAGTTATGTGACCCGAAAACCACCAGGGGACCTGCCCAGGGTGGGAACATCGAGCTTGGATCGGCGACACGTCGCCGATAGCTCGGCGATAGGCTTCCGATAGCCTAATTATCCGTACGTTCCTGGACGCGGTGGGCCAGGGAGGAGGAGGGAGGAGGAGGGAGGAGGGAGGAGGGAAGAGGGAGGAAGAGGAGGAGAAGGAGGAAGAGGAGGAGGAGGAGGAGGAGGAGGAGGAGGAGGAGGAGGGCGGTGATGAATGGGATACAGGGGGGCGATGCGTCCCCAGTAGCCTGTCCCCCTCGTGATGCCCCCCTGGCGCCTTCGGGGCATGACTCGGCTCTCTGGCGCCCGTCCGAGACGACCCCGGCGTAGGCGCTGGATGGCACCCCGAGGAAGGAGAACTGCCGACAGCAAACGACAGCGCCCGAAGCACTTCTACTCCAAGTTTCGCAATCCTGAAGGAGCCCTGGGACACACAAGTAAATACACACAAATAACAGGATTCCCCATATTTTCAGGATCTTTGTCTTCCCCCCTACTTCCCATATTTTCCCATATCTTCTCGGGAATGGACGATCCATTGTGTCTGTGTGTTTTTTCCCTCCTGATATCCATTACCCCCACACGCTGCACCTGGAAAAGGGGTGCCTGTACTGGGCGTCGCGTGATAGGGGGACTGTGCAGCCGAAAATGCGACCGAGAAAATCAGCATTCAAAAAATCTGGGCCAGCTTCCCCGAAGCTTCTTCAAACAAGCCAGGGCCAACTTCTGTTCTTGACACCGAGGGGGCGACCAGTCTCAAGAAACTGGGCCAGCTTTCCAGCAGGTTGGTTGAGAAACGCTGGCCCAGCTTTTCGGGAGGGGGTTTCTAAATCAGATGCTCGACTGTAAACGGGGGGCAGCGAGGGCTGCAGAAAAGGGGCCCTTTAGGGCCCCATTACAAAAAGCTCTTTAGGGCCCAACAGGGGGCCTTCAGGGACCGAACAAAGTTGACCTTTCTCCCCCCCCCCTCCCGCATGTGCCCCCCCATTCAGCGACGCCCACTGTAGCAGGTAGGGAGGGTGCCGGGCCACGAGCGCACTCCTCACTTCCTCCACCTCATCACCTCGTGGATGGACCAGTACGCCTCGCTCACCCGACGCTCGATGGCCTCGGGGAACGCCTTGCGGCCACCAACATCCTCGGGGTCCACCTCCTCCCCGAACGCGAGCGCCACGGCCGCCATCTGGGCGCTCCGCTCCTCACCGACTGCCGAGACCGCCCCCTCGGGCGGTGGCATGAGCCGGTGGGTCCACATCGCCAGGGGGAAAAAGCGGGTCCTTTGCGAAGGAAGTTCCGGAGACCTCGCGCGGCAACGTGAGACCAGATTCACATCGGGCCCACCATGGATTTGCGTCAGAATTGCGCCGGACCCACGTGAGAGTCACGTCAGAGCATCGTCGCGCGGACGCTGCCCCATATCTAACGCGGCGAACGTGTGGACCAGGTAGTGCGGCTTTTGTGCGCCGCGCGAGGCCTCCCGAATTTTCCCGACACGGAGAGGGCCTTGGATAAGGAACCATTTGAAAAGGAACCCAGGATCTGGGAGCCGGTGGAACACCATCTGAGGCTTGGCCATAGATATCACCGCCGCCCTCATCAGGTAAGGAATCCTCTAGGGTCCCCAAAACCTACCTTATAACCAAGGCCCCTACCGTCTTGCGCGCCGCGCGAGGCCTCCAGGCTTTTCCTTGTGGGGTCCTGTGGGTCCCCGCCTTCTCTGCCCTCTTGGCCAGGAGGTTGAACAGTCCCACCGACGACGCGTCGAACTTGGCCGGCGTGAACTCCCCGGTCTCGGGGTCGCGGCGGTCGCGGCCGCCCGATGGCGCAACCCAGAAGATGTTGCCCCCTTCGGTCAGCAGACGCTGCATCTCCGCAACCGTCTGGCGGTTGCGGGCCGCCGCCGACTCCTTCAGAAGGGGAAGGAACTGCATGAACATTTTTTAACAGAAGAAACAAACATCATAATAATACTAAGCAAAAAAAAAGGAACTGTATGAGCATAAACTGCTGGCGCTCCGCGCGGCTGTCTTGGATCGGCGCCAGGGCCGCCCCTGCGGACGCCTCTGGCGCCGCCCCATCGCGCGCTCCGCGCGCCAGGGGGGGGGGGTCCAGCACCAACCCAAGAAATCCGCGAGGAGCTCCGAAAGTCTATGATTATGCTGTTGTCTGTCCCTCTAGATGCGGAATGCCGCACGGTGCGCCCTGTTACAGTACATGGCGGTTGTGCATGGCGTGCCGCTTCTCTTCCTGCTTCCTCGCGCCACGAACCGCCAGTGTTTGTGCGGCTATTCCTTCCGAGATCCTTCTCGCCCTCGTCCTCGAAGGACTCCAGGTATTTCTTTGAGAAGATCGTGAGCAGATTGCGGCCGATGCTGAAGGGTATCGCCAGCGGGTCGGTAGTCACCTTGTGCCCGGCGACGAAAATGGTCTTCTCAGCGACTCCCGCATAGCCCTCCGACTCCAGCAGCACGGAGAGGACCTGGGGGTCCACCTCCGTCTGGTGGTTGCAGATCATGACGACGTTGTCCCCGTTGGCGAGATAGTCTTGGATCTTCCTGACGTTTTCCTGGCCGTCGACCTGCGAGGAGCGCTGCTTGATCATGGGGCGGATAAAGCGGTTGCCCCAGGAGTAGTAGTCGAAGTGTGGTCCCCTCACGGCTTTGTGGAAGGGCTCGAACGAGTATGGATCCTTCTGCGCCACGCTTTCCAGAAACCGAGTGAGCGTCACGTGCAGCATCTCGCGGTACTCGGCGTACGGCGTGCGGGCAATGACGTGGCTTTTCAGGTACGTGGCGAAAAACGTCTTGGAGCCCTTCGCGAAGGCGCGAATGTCTCCGCGCATGCCCTGACGCGCCTGGCCGTCCCCGTCTTCGGGCTGAGACCGCCTGTCTTTGATAGTCTTGTAACCCGCCGCCGTGCCGCGAGGCACGAGTTGGCGTGCCCTCAGGTCCCTTGGAGTCCTCGGTCCTATTTCCTGAGCCTCTTGGTGAAGGGACCAGAACCCCCGAAACGGCCCCCCGAGAGGCCTGACAACTGCCTTCAAGAGGGTCCCGAGAGGCATCCCAAGCCACCCCAAGAGGCATCCAGGAGGCTCCAAGAGGCGTCCAGGCGGGTTGGGCCGAAGGCCAATAGATACTCCAGTCTCTCGGTGACGACATCTTTGGTGATCTTCACGAGCCTCAGCGTTCGCACCGGAGAGGTGAGCAGTCCACCGAGGTCGCCCGCGAGACGCGCAAAGCTTCGCCTCCACCAGGGGAGCTTGGCCTGCTCACGCACGAAGCGCGTCTCCTCGATCACCTTCTGGTCGTAGAGCTGCTGCTCGAGCACCGATGCCAGCCCGAAGCCCCTGACGACCTGATCGAAGGAAGGAACGGGGTCACACGCATTGTAGGGCTTGGGGTTGTGCACAGACATCCCCCCAGGTAGTCCCAGCTGGCCTCGACAGGCACCCCGAGAAGTCCGGGGCGGTCTCAACACCTCAACCCTGGGACGCGAAGCGCTCAAGGGTCGCCGCTGGAGGCGCCGCCAAGGTGTTGAGACCGCCCTGGACTACTCGGGGTGCTTATTGAGGCCAGCCTGGACTACCTGCTGGAATGACCGCTGGGGTTGCTAACGGGATATGTGTGCTACAAGCGGTGCTTATATCTGGCACATCCTAGCTTGTTAGTGGGCTGCAATTGCCCCGAGTGGCTTAGGGCTTAGGGGGGTCAGCGATCAGGGCTAAGTGGGCTCCGCCCACTTGGCGGAGGTATCTCTCACCCCCGTGAGCGACTTGGGGCTCCAGTAATCCACTCATAAACCAGGGTGGGCCAAATATAACCACCTTGGCATCCACTCATACCCCCCCAAGCCTCCTTAGCACCCCCCGCGGTCATTCCAGCTGGGGGGGCTGCCTGTGCGCAACCCGAAGCCTCCCCACTCACGCAAGACGGCCAGGCGGCCTCACGCGGCGGCTTATACGCGGGCCGCCCGGCGCGGGCGACAAAACGCGCAATTTTGCGTGGGCCGCTTCCGCGCGACTGTCAGCGCGGTTGGTCCCGCTTACAGCAGACATCCTGCCGGGAACGTCTGGATAGCGCTGACCTCTGGTGGTGCGCGGCCCGCGTGCTTGGGTGTCTCCCTCCGCGCCCCCTGAAAGCCGCGCGCCAACGGTCACTGATGCGAAGGGTCACTCTCACGTGTAGCCAACTCCCCGGACCTGTCCCGGGGTGCGTTCTGACTACGGTCAGGGACTCTTGCTCAGCGTGTCGCGGCGGCGGTCCTTGGCGACGTGCTATGCCCTGCATGTGGATAGCATGTCGCTCCGCTCTGCGGGGCTAGGGGGTGGGAACCGCTGGGGACGTTGGCACTTCGGAACTGCGCTCCGCAGCGTGCAGGGCGCCAGAAGCGGCGGCGCGACATCCGAAGCCAAAGTTCCTGACTGTATGCGATAAGACATCGTGCTGTAACAGATATTTGGACACATTCTTCGTCGATCTTTGAGGGTCCTGAGGTTCCTCAGAGCATATGTGGGCCTCTCGGGCCATCGGGTGGGGTCGAAAACTTCCGTGGGGCATCTGCTGGCATGCCGAATTCATATCTGATGCGCCTACCGTATGTCGCTCACCTAGTCGGCCAGAACCGGCGGCAATACACGCTAAGCCAAGTTGTCCTGACCGTATGCGATGAGACATCGTGCTATGTGAGAGCTTGGGGGACTTCGTTCGTCGATCTTTGAGGATCCTGAGGTGCCCCAGAACTTCTTGGAGGGTCCTGAGGTACTCCAGAGCACCTCAACTTTGTCTTCCCCCAACAATCCACTCAAAAACAATCCCCCGGACGCCTCCTGAGGTACATCCCGGCCAGGCTGCCGCCCCGAAGATCGATCTCTGACGACCGCAGGGCCCGAACGGCGCCCCCCCCACCACGGGGGCGCTGGGGATGGCGAGACGCCGAAAAGCCTCCGCCGCTTTCAGGACGAAGGAGGTCCAGTCTCGAAGGTCAAACATCGACCACCAGACCTGTCGAAGGGCACGTGGTGACCAGAACTCGGGACGATCGGGGCGCCCCTGGAACGCTCTCGGCGATGCATATCGGAGCAGGGCGACATGAGACAGCGACAGGTCAGAATCGGGCCCTGGACCCCTCACAGACCCCTCACAGGGTCCACACGCACAAGTTTCCCCAGCTGCGTCCAGCCGTGGCAACGCGTACGTTGTGATGCTCAGCACTCGTCGTCGTTGTCGTCCTCCTCCTCCTCCTCCTCCTCCTCCTCATCCACCCTGTCCTCTCCCTCCTCCACCACCCTGTCCTCTCCCTCCTCCTCCCTCTCCTCCTCAGCGCAAGCTCAGATCGAACCGACTTGGGCCGGCCCGCGCGCAAGCACCAGCGGAGGCCTCCGGCCGCCCCGCTCGCCTCCCTCTCTCGTCCTTTCGCACCCTGCCCCCTGGAGCCGCCATGGCGCGCCTCGCGGCCGCGCCGCACGGCGGCGGAGCGCAGGGGCCAGGCAGCCAGGGCCAAGGCAAGGGCTGTCCAAGCGCTCTTGAAGGCCTTCAGTAGCCTTGGGCATCGCGGCTGCAAGCCCACGCGGTTGGGCGCCGCGCTGGAGGTAGCCTTGCATGCTGGACGGATGGAGCGTGCGGCCCACGCTGCCCATGATCTTCATGCTGGTATTGTGCATGAGCATGCCGCTGATCAAGCTGAAGTTGGACAAGGCTTCTCGTTCAATGCAGCTGCGAATGTCTTCACCCCGGGACTTATGACCGGAGTCTACCCTCCCGATGTTGGTGGTCGTGATCGCGGCTCCCCGTATACGGAAGAAGTTTACGAGGCCGTTCGTGATGACCTCATTATTGGAGCCGTGCCTCCTGCTGATTCAGGCATTGTCGAAAAAGGTGCTGTCACTCCTGATGCACTTTCGCAGCCACCTCCTGCGCATGGCCGTCGCCCTGATGCAGCCCATAGACGTGCGGGCAGACAGGCATGCAGTCCAGAATCTTCGTGGCGGTGGTCTTGAAGGCAGCGGGATCGCTCGTGAAGACCCTCCTACATGCAACGACTGTCGCAGAGCGCGGCGGTTTGGCCAAGAGCGGCGGCGGCGATTTGGCGCTGGGGTCGCCACGTAGCGCTGTTGGGCCACTCGGATGGCATCGTCTCTCTCGGAGGTCGTGTTTTCTGGCATGCTGGTTGGTTGGGAGCCCTGTGCCGCTGGGCGGTGCAGGGTCTTCCCTTCAACCTTCGTTGCTGGAAGGCTCAGCCTTGTCCGCTCGAAGCGTCCAATCCCATCTAGCTCCTCTCCTCCTTCTCCTCCACCTCCTTTCCTCCTCCTCCTCCTCCTCCTCCTCCTCCTCCTCCTCCTCCGCACAAAGGGCCCCGAATCCACGAATTCTCCTCTACGAATTCTTCCTCGCCCTCCTCCACGAATTCCTCCTCTCACGATCGGCGCCGCTCGGCCTGGTGATCCGCGGTGGGCTGCTCGTCCACCGCGGCGGTCAGCTCGCCCTCCGCCAGCGTCTGCGTGGCGCTGGCCGCCCGCGAGCACCTCACGAGCGGTGAACGTATCCGTACCCGCGCCGTCGCGGTCTGGCTTGCGGGGCGCGGTCCCGTGGATGCGCGGTCGCGTGGACACGTTCTGCGCGGGGCTTCGTCGAGAAAGCGCCCGTGTCCACGGGATCGCGGCCCAAAGGCCTGGCCCCCAAGGCCGCAGATACGGATACGGCAAGCTCCGGCCACCCGGAACCCCCAAAAACGTCGCCGTCTCTTGGGCGGCGCATTTTTGGGCTTCCGCCGGCCTTCCGCCGGCGATGTCGGCCTCGTCGTTCCTCCTCCTCCTCCTCCTCCTCCTCCTCCTCCTCCTCCTCCTCCTCCTCCTCCTTCCGCCTCCTTCCGCCTCCTTCATCCGCCCTGCCGCGTAGCAGGAGGTGGCAACTCCGTCGACCCTCGAGGGCGCGGCCCTGCCCAGCAGGCCTCACGCGTTCCGCCCGCGAGCACCGCCGCGCGCGGGCGGGCGGCCAGGCCGCGAAGCCGAGGGCGAGGGCGCCGCCGCCCAGGGCCGCCCCGAGCGCGAGCGGCAGCCCGCGCAGGCGCCGCCCGCCACCCCGCCTGAGGGGCAACGATAAGGGGGGGCTGGCATAGGGGGGGGTGCGTCGACCTGGAACCGGCGATACATCGCCGATAGATTGGCGATAGGCCTCCGATCGTGACTCCGCAACTTCCTGGGCAGGTTGGGACTATCAGGCCCCCATCGGCGATAAATGGGCGATTGGGGGTCGATGCATCCCCCCCTATGCCTATTCCCCCCCTATCCTTGCCCCCGACCGCCTGCCGGCACGGGCCATCGCGCAAGGGCGCGCTCGGTGAGCGCGGGCAGGCGGCGGGGAGGGGGTTCGGCTACACGCAACGGTGACGCCGGGCTCGTGCGGGGCGCTGCTCCGTGGGAGCGTGAAAAGACGGGTGGGGGGAGGCGAAGGGGGGGGGGTAACGCGTGCATCTCTCCTGCCTCGCTTGGGCACCAAGGGGGCCTCTGTAGGGGGCAGCTATGGTGAACGGAAGGTGCACGTGTCCTCGCGCCCCGATTGATCGCCCCCCATCACGCAACGCCCGAGAAAGGAGGGGAGGGGCGATTTGACTACACGCAAGGGTGACGGCAGGCCCTGGCGGGGGTTACTCAAGGAACAAGCGGGGCTACAGGCAGATACCAAGGCGGTCATAGCTGGCCCGACCTGGCCTACAGCGGGTCAGAAGTGCCCCAAGAAGGCCCAGGGGAGATGGCGATCCGGGCCAGGTGGGCTCCGCCCATGTAACGGAGCTGCATCATCGCTTTAAGCCGCTTGGGGCATTGGTCACCCACTTATCTGACAGGCTGGGCCAGGCATTGCCGCCCTCGGCATCCGCTTGTAGCTCCCCTCTCCCCTTAGCAAACCCTGCGGTCAGCGCCTTCCCTCAGATCCGGGCGATGCCATTTTTTCACACCGGGCGTTTGCGCCTGGATGCGGGGGGGCCCTCGCGGAACGATGCGGCTCGAGAGCTGGCGCAGAAAGATGGAGCCTCCGAGGGCTCCAGTCGTGCTGCGTCGCGATGCCGCATTGTTTGCTCGCAACGTCGGAACTCAGGGTTCGGCTACACGCAAAGGTGGTGGCAGGCTCAGGTGAGCGATGAAAATAAGCGGGTCTTGCGCACAGTGGCATAGCGATCTCACGCCGCAGCTCATACGCGGGCCGCCAGCGCGGCAAGCTAAATCGAGAGCGAGCGCGCTCACGCGCGGCCTTACGCGGGCAGCCTGCGACGCGAAGACCGGCACAGCCGCACCCAGTAATCAAACAATGACGAAAACACACAAAAAATCCAAGGTCCGCGCGGAATTCTCGGATCGGCGCTGGACCCCGCTCCCTGGCGCGCGGAGCGCGCCAGAGACGGCGCCAGAGGCGCCGACAGGGGGCCCCAGCGTCGATCCGAGAACTCCGCGCGGACCTCCGAGTTGTTAAGTCTATGGCATTGCCTGTTCCCTCGGGAAGGGTCCAAAGGGGTCCGGCGCCCGCGCGCCGAAAGATCAGCGCCCCCGATTGCCGGTCGCTGCGTGCGATGCGGAAAGAACGGCCTGCACGCACGGGTCTGGCCCACGTCGCCGACGATAAACGTTCTCAATCCGGACGTACAGCCGAAGACATGATCAAGGAAATCATTAGTTAGGAACCCTGGGCCAGCTTTGCGGAAGCTTAGTCCAACCAATGTGGGCCAACTGTTTGCCCACGCAGAGCTTTCCTGCAGGTTGGTCTGGAAACGCTGGCCCAGCATTTCGGGAGGAAGTTTCTTAATCAGATGCTCGGCGATATCCCCTAGATGTCGGCCTCTGGGGCCCGTTGTCGCACCCCGGGAACATGAGAACTGACCTGGGACGAAAACCCATCCCCGGGGAAGGGGTCAGGACTTCTAGGGTCCGCGCATGGAAGAAATCACTCACCTCGTCGGATGGATGCTGGGATGACCGCGGGGGTTGAAAGGGGGTTGAAAGGGGATGGGGGGGGTAAGCGGATGCCAAGGTGGCTAGATCTGGCACAGCCTGGCTTACAAGTGGAGTATAAGTGCTCCAAGTGGCTCAAGGGTGTTAGGTAACTCCGCCAAGAGGGCGGAGCCCACTTCGCCCGATTCGCGAACACCCTTAAGCCACTCAAAGCATTGGAGTCCCACTTATATGCCAAGGCAGGCCAGGTATCACCATCTCGGAGCGAGCGCGTTTCACGGGCGCTTGCCTTGGGAACATTCGGCGGCGCGTTTCGAACTGGAGGGCCCCCCCCCCCCCTAACCCCCCCCCTCCCGACCCCCCTCCCAAAGGGGTTTCCACCCCCCCCCACCCCTGACGCCGGCGCTGGCGGCCGCCGTAGCGCCAACGCAGCGACGATGACCAGAGAGAGCCCAGGAAGGGGGGGGCCTTCAAACCCCACCCCCCCCGAGCCGGCGCCGGCCCCGGCGCTGACGGCGGCCAGCAGCGCCGACGGCGGGGACGCAGCGACGATGACCAGAGAGGGCCCCAGAGGCCGCAGAGCGAACGCACAAATCGCCATATCGAGCCCTCGCATGCTCCTCAAACGCCCCAGAGACCCTTCTGATGATACCCCAAGAAGCATCCATTAGAACTCTGACCCTTTGCCAAAACACAGTGGCGGGAAGAGCCGGAGGCCACACCACCATAACCACCACCGCCACCACCACAACCACCACCACAACCACCACAGCCCACCATCACCACAACCACCACCATCACCACAAACCACCTCACCACCACCACCACCACCACCACCACCACTACCACCACCACCAAAAAAGCCATCACCACCAGCACCACCACAACCCACCACAACCCACCACAACCACCACCACCACAAACCATCACACCATTACCACCATCATCACCACCACCGCCACAACCACCACCATCACCACAACCTACCACCAACACCACCACCACAAACCACCACACCACCACCACAACCACCACCATCACCCACAACCCACCACCCACCACCACCACGAGCACCACTACCAGCAGCACCACCACCACCACCACCACCACAGCCAACCACCACCACCACCACCTCAACCCACCACCACCACCACCACCACCACCACCACCACCAAACCACCACACAACCACCACCACCACAGCCACCACCACCACCACAACAGCTCACCACCGCCACCACCACCAGTACTACAACCCACCACCACTGCCACCACCATCACCACAGTCTGCCACACCACCACCACCACCACCACCACCACCACCACCACCACCACCACCGCCACAACCACCACCACTACTACCAGCAGCACAACCCACCACCACCACCACCACCACCACCACAACCACCACAACCACCACAAACCACCTCACCACCACCACCACCACCGCCACAGCCACTACCACAACCACCAGCACCCCCGCCGCCGCCGCAAGCCGCCGCCGACGCCAGGAGAGGGAGAGAGGAGACGTTGGGGAAGGGGGGGGGGTTCGAACCCCGCCCCCCCCCCTGGCTGGCACGGGAGGAGGATTCGAACCCCCCCCCCTCTCTCCATCCAGGGGGGGGGGTCCGGTTCCAACCCCCCCCCCCCTCCAAGCGACCACAGAACCCGCTCTTTCCCATCTCGGCACTCCCCCTATCCACTCAGCACCCCCCGCGGATATCCCAGTGGGGACCCCCCCCGCGCCCCCTGGAGGCCGCGCACCAGAGGCCACTGCAAGGGCCACCCCTGCGCGTAGCCGGCAGCGGAGGCGCTACCGTGCGCGCGGCCCCTGTCGCAGCGGGCCGCGCGAGGCGCCTCTCGAGAGCCGAAACGGCTCCTCGGCTCGCCGGTGGCCTGGTCCTCGCAGGGCGCGCGCGTGCATGGCACTCGTCGGGCCTGGCCGTCCGCCGCGGGGGTCCACGACCCCGTGTCGCCAGGGCGGGGCACAGAGGTTGCCCTGAGGTCCGATGTCACTCGGAAGCTGCAGCACCGTAAGAATCATAAGTGGAGCCCTGGACCCCCTCATTCGGCTACAGTCGGACTTCATTGAACAGGACACGCGAGAGGACACAAGACCCGTCCGAGGGCCACATTGCCATAGGAGTGTAAGAAGGCACGCGTCGCGAGGCACAGGGCACAAGAGCACCCTTGAGCTGGCAGGGTCGACCTACTAATCCGGGCCGACTGTACACTCTGCGAGCCAGATCGACCCGTGCGGGATCTGGCGCCCCAGGAGCGGCCGAGGAGCGCCCTGGACGTAGACTGGAACCCCCTCATGGCGCCCAAGGAGCGCTCGGGGAGTACCCTGGAAGCGCACTGGAAAGAACAACACACGCTCGAGCCGATAGGGAGGAGGACAGGGGAAGGACAAGGAGATGAAGGCGCTAAATGTATGGGTGCGGGTTGTCGGACCCCGAGGGGTGCTCCAATTCGAGAGGGGAGCCACAATCGACAACACGCACGCATAGCCCCCCACGGAATTCCACCCCGCGAAATCTAGAGCTCGCATCGGGTATGTGTCCGAGTTGTCAGCTCATGACGGAAGTCTGGGAGGGGAGGAGCCTGTCGAAGACGTACCTCCAGATGTCCAGCAGCATGGCTGCCCGCTAGTCCCTTTGACAGCCCCAGGGCCTGGCAAGGGCCCCAGGGCCCAGGAGGTCGAAACTTGCCGAAAAACTTATCGGCCATCTGCACGACGCGAAAGACGGGGAAACGAAAAGATGCCCATACCGCTACCCCCAGGACCTCTCCCAGAGTACGTTCTGGCCCGAATTTCGAAGCGAATCCAGCCGTAGCGACGAAGGCCTCCCAGGAGGCCCAGCAAGGCCGAACGAGGCAAGGGCAAGGGTATCGCGCTACCCGTTTTCCCCTCCGAGACAAGGTCCGGGAGGGGCGCAATGCCAAGGGGAGGGGTTACCACTACGGGGGTCGCCACTTTCTCGAGGAGACGTCCCTTCCTCCAACAACTTGGCCCCTGAAGTACATCCCAGGGCCCACCCCAAACGACATCGCCCCAAATCTCCTCGAGCTTCGACCTCGGACCCTCGATTCCAAGGATGAGCTGATGGCGCCCACCGGGGCCAGCTTGGGGCCCCCTTGGGCGGGCCTCAGGCAAAATCACTCGACGCACCCCAGGAGTCACGCGGACCGCCCCCACAAATCCACCCCTTGGGCCTCTGGACCTGAGAGCTGAGGGCTTTTGGAACCCCGAAGCGGTGCGGTGACAGACCGTGCGGAGACCTCGAAATCTCCCAAGACCTCACCGCACGGTCCGTCAACGCACGATTTCGGGACCTCGGATGCCCCAATCGCCCGAGACGTCCTCGGAGAACGACCCGAGTCCCAAGACCGTGCGGTCGAATCCCCACCGGCTCACCGCACGGTGTGGTCACCGCCCTGTTTGGGGGCCCCCGAGGGCCAGAGAGACCTGGGGACACTCCGCCGCTCCCGGCGCGCCCGCAGCGGAGTGGAGAGCCGCCGCCGCTGGACGACTTCCTCGATGCGGGTCTGCGGCTCTCGCGGCTCGGAAGGGCTCGGCCGATGAGATTTCTGAGCTCTACGCAACGTGTCCCCGCCGGCACTGCCCGAGGAAGGGGAGGGAAGCCTGCACGGCTACAATGGACGGGCAGTCCACCTCGACCACAGGCATGGCAAGCAGCCCCTGCGGCAGACATAGGCCGCCCGTCACGGAAGAGAACTCAATTGGCGCGTCCCGCGGCGAAGTTGAATGCGGAGACAGGCACAAGCCATTCTGCACGGCTGAAGCTTTTGTTCCTGATGAAGACACAGCAGCAAAGGGCCCCTTAAACGCGACCAAGGGGCGAAGAGCTCCCCAGACTTTCGGCGACAGCCGAACGCCCCTTATGCACACCATGGTGCCAGTTCTCTACACACAAATGTTCATATTGAGCCTGTTGAGCACGACACCTCCACGCAGCATGACGTGCTGACAGCACACCCCGTGGCTGAGGCTCTGATCCCCTCTCCCCGTCGCTCGGACGTCCATTCCCCATGCATTTGGCGGTCTCGTGTCTGTTTCTTGGGGCCCGGTGGTCGAGAGAATGCTCTTTGAGGGGCCTCGCCGAGAAAAGTGCACACGTCCGAGCGATGCAGAGTCCCCTTGGCACTGCCCGAGGGAGGCGAGCAGCTGGTCCTGGACGTGCCTCTGGATCTCACGCAGCGCCGCGGCCCGCGAGGCCCGGCGTGCCCTGGCCGAGACCCCCGAGGCCGCCGCCTGCGGGCCGGTGTTGTCAGGCCGAGGCTACGCCCCCAGGGCACCCGCTCTCGTCATCCTCTTCCGGCTGCTCCTCCTCCTCCTCCTCCTCCTCCTTCTCGCCTCCTCCTTTCCTCCTCCTCCTTTTCCTCCACATCCTCCTCCTCCTCCTCCTCCTCCTTCCTTCCTTCCTTCCTTCCTTCCTTCCTTCCTTTCTTCCTTCCACTCCGCTTGACGCCACCCCCAGGTCGGAGCGCGCGCCCGGCCGGGTCGCGCGGCGCGGGCCCTCATAGGCCGGCGGGCTGCGCCCGCGTGCTGCCCTTCCCCGCGGCCGGGAGCTCTTCGGCTGGAGCCCGACGCCGAAGCGGGGGGCTCCCCACCTCGAGCCCCCGGGGAAGGGGTCGCCCAGCAGCCCCCCCAGGAAGTCGCTGGTGGAGCGCCGCGCGGGCTTGAACCCCCGGCAGCCCCGCATTCGGCTGGGTCGCTGCCGGTGGGTACTCGGCCCGGAGAGGAAGGGCCTGGACCGGCGGGGACCGGGGGCCAGGGCTGGGGGGCCGGACCAGGAGCACCACGGGCCCGGGCCCAGGTGGGCCCGCCCGAGAGGCGAACGCATGCCAGGCCACGGGGCCAGGGGCCAGGGAGGGGGACAGGGGACGGGACCCAGGCCCAGGGCGGAAGCAGGGATGCAGGGAGGAGGAAGAGGACGGAGGACACTGCAGGAAAGCCGAGCCCATCTTTCAGGGGGGCCCGGGCCCGCCGGAAATACCCATCCTCTCTGGCATATATATATATATATATATATATATATACACACACACATACCTAGGGCGCTGCCTGCAGTGCAGCCTCCAGGCGGCGCGCCTCCTGCGGCGACAGGCCCGCGGCCACGCCCGCCCCGGGCCGCAGCCGGAGCACCGCGGCGGCGCCGCCGCAGTTCCCAAGGAGGTGGACTGCTGTCTCCTGGGACTGGGCGCAGGAGCGGCATGCTGCCACGGCGCCTGCAGCGTCGCGCGCGAAGGCGCCCTGCACGGTCAGGCGGGCCCATGCGCGGGCCTCCGGCAGTGTGGCGTATACGCTGTGCTCCATCGTTGCGCAGCCCCCGCCGGCCGCGCGGCTGGGCGCCTCCTGCTGCGCCAGGCTGGCAAGCCAGGACGCCTCCTGGGCGTCGACGCCGCCGCCCGCACCAAACTGCGACACTGTGGGTGCGGGCTCCTGCCCCTGCCTGGCGCCCGGGCGGGTCGGGGAGGCGCCACTGGGCGAGAAGCTCCTTGACGCGGCACACCCAGGAGCCCCTGGCCTCCTCCGCCAACGCGAAGATCCGCTTGGCCTCGGCGTACCGGGGGTCTGCCTGGACCCGGCCGTACAGGCGGATGGCCCGTTCCTCCATGCTCGTGGACCACTAGGTCGCCCACCCCATGTGGCGCAGGACGAGGGCCCGCGGGAGAGGGCCGCGCACGCCGAGGACATCTCGCGCCCACCTCTCCTGGACGCGGTTCAAGGTCCCCGCAAAGCCCTCCACGTGGACGCACAGCTCGGCTCCGTGCGCCACCTTCGGGAGCGTGCTGGCGATCAGCCCAGGGCTGAGCTCGTGCAGCGGACAAGCCCAGGTGGCTCATGATCGCGGTGTGTCACCGCCCGACCCCCAGCGCCTGCCGCTCGATGGCCTGGAGGTGCGCCTGCCCGGGCGGCCCGGCCGAGCGGCGGACGCCGAGGCACCTATACTCGTCCACGAACCCGGCGCCTTGGGTGGGCCGCGTGTCCTGGATGCCCCTCCCCAGAATGGCCGTCTTTGTCGGGCCGTACCGGAGGTGGCCGCGGTGGCGGCGCGCGGCGCTCTGCAGCGCCTGGACAATCAGCCCGCTCTGCGCCCGCGACCCTGCCTTGGCGCGCACGTCGTCCACGAACGCGCGTGGTCCGATCCTCGTCTCGGAGAAGAAGAAAGCAAGAAGCCCCTGCCGTACCGCATCTGAGGAGGCAGCAGCCACGCAGCCGTGCCAGTCCTCGTGCCCGTCGACGAACAGGGTCGCCCACTGGTCGATCTCCCGGACGTCCAGCACCTCTGCGTCCGAGCCGTTCCGATGCGCCCGGTACGCCGCCAGCGCCTCCGGCGGTGGGTCCAGGCCGAGGCTGGCGCCTGGCGTAGCCGCGACCTCTTCTATTCTTGGCGCTTCGTGTATCCCCACCAGCCCATCCAGAAACAATTACCAGGTGAGTTGGTTAGTCAGGGACGCCTGGAAGCACGCGGTCGCGCAGCTGTTCTGGAAGCGTCGAAACAGGGTGGGCAGCACCCTGGGCCAGGAAATGAGGACCTTCGCGCAGTGAAGTTTAAGACAGAGATCAGTGCAAGATGCGCCATGGTGCTCCCTTTGGTAAGCGTCTCTGGCGCAGGTTCCTGTATCTACGATCCGACGCCAGCGGCGCGCAGATTAGAGTCGCATTTCGATGGACACCCTTGATCTTAACCCTTGAACCGATTTGTATCTTAAACTCGCGTGCGTTTCGAAATTGCTCAGGTGCTGGTGCTGCTGCCGGTGCTGCTGATGATGCTGTTGCTGGCGCTGCTGTTGTTGATGCTGGTGCTGATGTTGCTGTTGCTAGTGCTGGTGCTGCTGCTGGTGCTGCTGCT